GGACTTGAAAGACATAATAAATGCAAACACAAACCTGAGTGTAGTTCAGATAATTTTATGAACGAGTGTTCTTTAAAAAAATTACACCCTTTAAAGTTAAAATGTATGAGTGTGTGGCTATTGTGGCAAAGGATATGTGCTTACCATCAACTATTCGTGATTCTTTTAAATCTATATGTTTTTCAATTGAGGATGCTAACACCTTTTGGGAACTTATAAGACCTACAATTTATTTGTTTAATGATGATATTGAGAAATTTTATTCAAATTTTTATGGATTGTTGTCTGAAAATGATTTACCAGAAGTATTAGGCGGAGATGTAACTTTAGTAAATATTCTTATGGTTGAAGTTGCAAATCATCTTGTTATTCATCTCTCTGAAAAAACTGTACCTTCTGAACAATCTAATACTGTTAACAAATCTAATACCGTTAACTTGCTTTCTGAAAGACAAGTGAAATGTTTGCAATACCTTAGTGGGTATATTGTCCATAAACTTTATAGTAAATATCATTTCAGCAAAAACTTCTGCAGTCAGTTTAACAAACAATGTAAAGCAATTTTACTTGCATGTAAAACAGATTCTGATAATACTCAGACACTTATTGATGCACGTGACAGAGGGGGATTGTGGAAAACAAATAAAACAATGCAACAAATTTTTTTAAAGTGTGAAAATATTTTCAGAGCAAAAATTGCCCAATTTTCTACAAAAATTGTTAGCTCGGATTTACTAGATTTTATGATAGAGAGCACTGTAATAAAATCATGTTTTCAAAGGTTATGTTATGACATTGATCCAAAAGTAGATAAAGAGATCAGCTCAAATTTATTAGAACAAATATTGACATTATTTATACGGGTTCGTACATTTTCATTTGCTAAAGACTTAACTGAAAAGCACAAGTTGGCCAAAAAAACATTGAAAAAACATTCTCTACGAAAAGAATTAAAAAAAGCTAACAATCCTTCGTAAAGATGATAAACTATATATATATATATATATATATATATATATATATATATATATATATATATATATATATATATATATATATATATATATATATATATATATATATATATATATATCTTTAAAAGTCATTTCTTGTTATACGATATATATATATTTATATATATATTTAATATGTAAGTAGATTTTAATAAAAAGGCAACGTATAACTATTTTTAAATATATTTTGATGTAAAAATATATCAACGATATTTCGCTGACCTATTGTGGTCAGCGTCATCAGGTAATAATAAAAAACGTTACAAAATAACATAAAAACAAACCGTTTAAAAAGAAGACATTAAAAAGCGTCAAATATAAAAACCAATTAAATATAATAATGACGTCAGTTAAATTTTTGTCAAGATGGGTCCCCAAGTTCTTGCTTTAACCTTATCCCCGTCATCTCGATTTAGAACACCTTCCCCAATACCTATCTCATATCGAACTTTCGCTTTGTTAATCTCCAGAGATTCTCTAATTTTTCGTATCTTGTATTCTTGAACGACTGCCAAGGTCTTAGGATTTAGCCAATCAAAGTTACCACGGCATGTTTTGGAATGTTCCGTGGCTCCTGAACTCGACCATTTTTGATTTTTGCAAGCTCTTTGGTGTTCTGCACTTCTTGAAATGATTTTCTTTTTGGTTTCACGAATATATATATTTCCGCATAAGCATTTAAGTTGGTAAACCCCCGGATTTGAGTTCGGAGGTAGTTTAGTTTTGTTGTTGCATAATATATTACTTAAACTAGGAGCTGAAGTAAATATAACTCTGATGTTTTGTTTTTTAAATTCTCTTCGGAGTTTTGGGCCAATAATAGGTATCCAAGGTAGTTTAACAAACTTTTGATCTAACTGATTAGATGTAGTATTTTTTGAAATGCCGTCTAAATAGTTTTTGGTTATTTTAATAAGATTATTTTTATTATAGCCGTTTTCAAAAAATGTATTTATGAGGAAATCAATTTCTTGTGAGAGATATTTTTGAGAGCAGATTTGTTTTGCTCGACATAAAAAACCTTTAAAGACGCCAATGGTTATGCTCGGGTTGATGTTGGAGTTTGGTTTTATTTGAACATTTGTTATCGCATCCTTACGGTGTATTTGAATCTCATAAAATCCATTCATTGTATTTGTAATACAAATATCTAAAAAATTAAGTTGTTTTCTTTTGTTTTCAAGTTCAACGGTATATTTTATGGAGGGGTTTTGTTCATTTAAAGCTTAAAGAAATAATTCTTGCTTTTCTTTTGAATCGAAGCGAGCATGGCTATCATCCACATATCTTTTATAAGTTATTGGTTGGAATGAAATAACAAAGGCTATATCAAGTGCTCATTTTTCTATATTTTGCAAAAATACTTCAGCTATGACTACCATCAATGATAAACCAATTGGACCTGAATTAGGTAAAATTCGGACTTTATCTTCGTATAAAAAGTAACATATGCTTAACGATAGTTCAATTGATTGGTGTATATCTAT